CCTACTTAGATACTTGTAGGCCTAAGAACCCTACACGTCTTATATAGCCCTTCGGGCTGAAAAAGGACGTTAAACTAGAATAATAATAATAATAATAATAATACAGGCTTATAGAGGTGCGCAGGTTTAGTGGGGTGCGGCGCTCGCTTGTACGCGGCGCTCGCTTGTAAAACACGTTACATTCTTTTCAATAGTAAATCATACCACATGTCACTGCATATAACTCCCAGCGCCATTTCTTACTTCTTTTGCACTATGTATGTATGTAAGTGACTGAGTATGTAAGTATCGTATTCTGTATGATAATAACAATGATGATGATGGTGATGGTGGTGATGGTGACAAGGGCTCAGCTCAGTGTCGCGTTCGTTTTTCGCACCACGGATTTCATGAGAGAAGGAGATGGAGATGGAGATGGAGAGAGAGTGAGAGATGGAGATAAGGGGAAAGGGCAAAAGGTGGTTTGCGAATGTGCATGGAGAATAAATGAACTATAGGTGGATAAGGGGGAATGGGTCTGAGTAAGTAGGTAAGTAAGTAAGTAAGTAAGTGGGCAAGTCAGTGGTTGGTATATCTATCTACGTGTATATGTATTCCAGATACCAGCTACCACTTGCTAGTTGCTAGTTGCTAGACATGACATGACATGACATGATAGATTATACATCCCCCCCCCTGCTTTCCGTCTTTCCGTCTCCTTGTATGTCCTGAACATATGTATCAACTAACCAACACAATCCCATCACTCACATCCACATCCACATCCACATCCACATCCACATCCACATCCACACAAAAACACAAGACATGATTCATCCCACAACAACAGCAGTCCAAAGAAAAGAAAAGAGAGGGTATATAAAATAGCATTTCAATATCTCATCGCACAATAGGCGCATCCATCCATCCATTAATCAATCAGTCAGTTAGTCAGTTAATCATGCGTGAATCATCATGCCATCAAAGAAAAAAGCCAACCAAACCAACCCAAACCAAACCAAGCCAAACCAAGCAGGATAACCGCCAAAGCAAACAGATATATGCAAAAAAGAGAAAAAAAAAGATATGCAAGACGCAAGAAGCGCGCCATGCTCGTCGTAAAACAGCCGTATCTCATTCCCCGCTTCATGAAAATAAAACATGTTCATTAGAAACATCCCCCTCCCCGATTTACACACCCACACACACACACTTACAAACATACAACCATCTATAGCAAAACGGCCGCAAACCCCACAACCGCGCCCGCAACCGCCGCCCACGCCATCGTCTGCACACCAGCAGCAGCAGCAGCATTCGGCAGCGGGCGACGATCACCCTGGCTCTGTTCGATGGGGAGGCCTGTGGCTGGATCGGTCGGACGAGGCCGGTTGTTGTTGTTGTTGTTGTTTCCGTTTGGCTGCGGGTCCTGGACGGGGCCTGTGGGAAGCGGACCTGTGGGGAGGGGACGGGTGCCGAGGGGGCCTGTTGGGCGGGGGATTGCCGAGGCGGCGTAGGTGGTTGAGCTGAAGGTGCAGTGCCACATGAGTTCGTCGACGTCTGGAGGGGGGGGGGAGTTAGTCATGTGATGTGGCGGGGGGGGGGGGATTGGCGGGTAAGAAATAGGGATTGGAATTGGAGGGTAGAAGGGAGAAAGAGAAAGAGACTTACCGTCGTCTCGTCTGCCGTCTCCGTCACGGTCGTCTCGGTCATCGCGGTCATCACGGTCACGATCGTCGCGGTCGTCACGGCCGTCTCGGTCGCGGTCGCGGTCTGGTTCGCCGCCGTTTGCCGCCACGCATGCGGCGCACAGCGGGATAGTCGTGCGGGCGTTTTGGTCTCTGCAGATGCAGTCGCGCTCGGCGGCGTCGTTGCCGACTGTTCGAGTTAGCCATTTGCATGTTGCTTCACACGGATTGGCGGGAATAGACGTACTGATGTTCCGGTGGCAGGTTTGCGTCAAGGTAATGACGGGCAGGCAGATGTCCAGACAGGCCACTGGCACGTCGTCGTGGTCAACCTTTTGCGCGAGGCCCGTGGCCGAAAGGACGAAAGCGAGGGCGAGGGCGTGGAAATGCATGGTTCCGAATTGGGTGTGTTTAGAGGTACAAAGTTACTATCAAGCTGATCTTGTGGTTGTGATTGTGATTGTTGTTGTTGGGTCCAAAGTTGTTTTTCGGTCGTAGTGATCGACTATTCCTGTCCTTATCGTTTGTAAGTAAGTAGTGGTTGTATAAAGCAAAATATCAACGGGCTTACCCACACCCTTTATACACATGTCGGCCAGTACAAGACCATCGCGTGCCTACATTCCATGTTCAGGTACCAAAGCACGTCCATGTGTTGGGCCCACACAGCACAGCACAGCCCACACCTCCTCCTCGTCCGCTTCCACCATCACCACCCATCCTTACTTCCCGCACACCACCCTCAGACAAAGCGCCAAGACACCACGCCCGCACCGCCATGACGATGATGACGACAAAGGGTCGCAGCATGGCAATGCAAGGTCCGTCCGCTTGTTTCCCCCATCGGCCCGTTGTCGGTCGGTAATCACATTGGACACTGTAAGAGTTGCGGGGGCCAATCGATGTGTAGCCTTCCATGGCCGTAAGGTGCTCGGAAGGGGTGGAAATCTCCAAGTCTTGTCCGTCGACACAGCAAAAGGCCTTGGCACGGCGGTATTACTTGGGTGAATCATGACACTGCGGTTTTGTCTGTAGCGGTAACTCTTGGGCGCCGCCGCTCTTTTGCTTTTTTTGGTCCGGCATAGCCTCCCCTCGTGGGAGACGTGACGCCGTGTCCAAGCAAAGCAAAGCAACAACGCCAGCGAATGAAGCCAACACAGGTGCTCCCGGCTAAGACATGCAGCCGTGGTTTTCCGGGTTGGAATGGCGGCCTGGCGACGACGACGACGACAACGCGCGAAGATGGGCACACGGCGGAGCCACCAACAAAACAGGATCATGGACGCTCCGCCCCGAAGTTTCCCACATAGCCCGCATGAAGCTTGGTCTGTTTTGCGCAACGCCCAGCCCATGGCGAATCAAGTCGCGGATGCCAAGGCACCCCAAGGAGCAAAAGATATGCATTTGTGCCAAGAGTGGAGAGGGTGGAGAGCAAATGCCATGTCCTAGTAGATGTGAGCGTCTTGTGGGTCATTTGGCACTTTTTTGTTACGTCTTTTTGCTGTTGTGTCTTGTTGCGCTGGCTAGGCGTGTTTTTCTTTTTCTTTTTTTCTTGGGCTACGCGCGTTTCAGGTGGCGGTGCAACCAGTAAGTAAGGAAAGAAAATCGAGGTACTGTAGGTGGTCAGTGCTTGCAACTGTTCAGCGGATGCAACACCCCACCAAAATTGGTGCTCCACCAAAGATGAGGCTATAGAGACCCATACAAAAGCTATTATCACGAGATTTTCTGGTGGAGTATTGAGCAAGTAGTAATATATATTTCCGTCTATATATATTTCGCTGGTAACTTTATATTGCGGCCGCGGGTGGTGGTTTTGGTGGAGGGCTTGGCGGGCGGCGGTGCAACTCCATCACCACTCTCGCAGCCCACCACACGACGACGTTTTGCTGTTTTTGTATTCTGCGACGATGAAGCTTTTCGTTTAGGTGTACTTTGCTTATCGCGAGATTTTTTTGTTGTTGCAGTAAGCCAATCTTGTTCTTTTTGGGCGCGCGCGGCAGTAAGTTGTGCAGCCTTAGCCTCCTATTTTTTCTCGCGGGCAACTTTTGCAATTTCCCGCGCCTGTTTTGCCTCTATAGCTATTTGTTTTTTATACCGGGCAGCGGCTTCTCGCATCTCTTTTCTCTCTTTTTTTTTTGGAGTTTTTCTGCCTCTTCTTCTTGGTGCTGTACAGCCTGACGCGCTCGAGCTTCCCGTACCGCCCGAGGGCTCCACACCACCGCCAGACTCTGGTACTCTTGGTGTTGTTGAAGGTCGAGAACTCTATTATGCTTCGGCCTCTGTTTTTTGGTGGCGATTTCACCGCGAAGTTCGTCGATCTCAACGTGGAGAAGCTCGTTGTTGACCTGCAGAGAATGTAGAGCCAGGCGGAGCTCTTTGGCTGCAGCCGTCGACCTATCCGGTACCGCAACGTCAAATAATCTTGACAGCGTACGCCAGCTATCTCCATCTCCCACCTCTCTACTTTTCAAGTTGTTATCTCGTTGTGATGTGGTGGTTTTGAACCGTTTGAGTACGACTTCGGGATCGCGGGGATGGAGCCCGGTGGCTGCAAAACTGCTCAAAATATTATCGGTAGTGAAGGTAGATGTATACGCCACCCAAAATAGGCGGAGGAAATCACTTTTCTGCATTTGGAGTAATGCTTGGCTGCGGCGTATGAACTCTGATAGCTCTTTAGAGTACGCCGCCGACAGCGGCCCGTACAACACCACGTCGAGAGGCTGTAGAGTATGGGTGGCGTAGGGTGGAAATATTGAAAGTATTATTCGATGGGAGTAACAATATTCGATAAATTTGGGTGAGACGTGGCTACGGTGGCCGTCGAGGATGAGCATCCAGTAATCGCGTTTGGCTTTCGCCTTCGTTTGACGATCAAAAACCTGTTTGAGCCAAGCTAAGCCTAGGTCGTTATGACTCTATCTGGATGGACTTGTAGAGAAAAAAACGTGGTGTTTTCCAACCTCTAGGTCGCGTACCTAGCTATCGCGAAGTCCGACCTTGCCTTCATAGATAACGCAAGGATCTACAGCGCTTCCATCAGCACAAACACATGCTAAAACTGTTATCCACTCTCTATTACCATCTTGGATGGCGGCAGTGATCATTTTTTGGTTCTAAAGTTGTTTGGAAAACACCCGTTTTGACCTTGTGGTGGACCTAAGTAGGAAGCCCTTCTTGTCCATATTGTAGATGTTATGCGGCGCAACGTCGTAGTCATCGAGTTTCCCGAAGATGAGATCGAAATATGATCGATAACTATCATGACTATCAGCTTCGTGACGATTGCGGTCCATCCTGGTGGTGTATTTGATGGTAAGGTTGGTGGTGTTGCGGTCCAGAAAGCGTGTGACCTAGCTATCTGACGGCTCCCATTCCGCAATATTCGACACAAAATTTTTTATCATAGACCTGGTAGGTGCAAGCCCACAACTAGAAAGCTTCTGTATATACTTTACAAGCTTAGCTTTATGTTGTGTAGTGAGTAATTTCGTGTTTTCTGCGGCGGCTGCACAGGACTAGGTTTGTTTGTAGTGGCGGCGCGTTAACGTTGACAACACAACACTAAACTTTTTCGCAGCTGCTCTATACGAAAGTCGTTCTTTAGGATCTTGCGCATCGACTGCTGCAAGCGCTTTCTTAATTGGAGTCATGGTGGTGGAGTTATCACGCGTTGAAGTGGGTGGGTCTGTTTTGGGAAGGTGCAGATGGTGTTGCATCCGCTGAACAGTTGCACGCACTGACCACCTACAGTACTACAAAGGTTGTTTTAGTCTAGTTTGGCCAGATTAGGCCTTATCCCGTACAACGCCAAGTAGGCTTGCAGCAGCAAATTCATGTAAATGCCTGATGGCTTGAAGGATCTCGTATGCCTTCATCTGGCATGCCGGCAATGATTGTAACATGCAATGCAGGGAGAAGATGTGCGTGCGCAATGTATTTCGTGCATTGCAGTCTTGGAAGTGTGGTAATATCGGCAGGGAACGGAACAAGGAGGAATCAAGGTTGTCAGCAATGACAGGCCCTTTGCTCCGCCTTGTTCTCGCTATGCTATCGCCATACTTGCCGTGTAGTATGAACATACCTACAGCACTGCACGCTCTCGCGTAGGTGCACGTGCAGTGGAGAGTGAATAGGGCGTTGCTCCATTGACCAACCAAGCCCCATCACCCATCTTTGGGTCGTTTCGTTGTCTCACCCAGTCTACGTGATGAGAAAATTCTGCTTGTGCTTTGCGTACTGCTGCATGGCTTAGTATCTTGGGCCTACACTATAGGCATTCTGGCGTGAAGATCCTTAGTCGAGATAGTCACGGCAGTCGGTCTAGAAGAAAAGCCTGGACTAGGTAAGATTGGACATAGCTGTTGTTTTATTTAGATTAGATTGCCGAGTGTGGGGTTATCGGCGCGAGAAACGTTGGGCCGCTGGGGGTGGGGTGCTCAACAGATGCGTTCTGGGGATGAGGTCATGCGTAGCTGGTCATGTTGCGGGTGTACTACGTGTGTAACAGTCATGGGCGGTGTGTACATCTTCGAATAAGCAGAAGCAATAATGGTATAGTAGACTTACGTGTCTTTTCTTGTCGCCTTCCTCCTCTTTGCGCACTGTCGACCATCCTCAAGCCTGACGGCAACAGTCGTTCCACTCTTCTCAGTTCCACATGTACCCTTTTTCAGAGCGGACACTTTGTACATCTCTAATTTCTATTCCAGTTTCTCATTAGATCACACTTGCTCCTCGTCGGAACGGGGTCCTGGCATCCGTTGTATCAAAGAACGTATGACCCTGTGACCTTCGCAATGACCCTTATCTGGCCATCGTCGTCGAACCATGCCCGTGTGCATCCAAATAATATACCTCACTGGCGGGGTCGACTCTACGAGTAAGAAGGGGACTGCTAGCGGACCATGCTGAACTGTTGCCGTGTTCTTGCTGCATCCGCGTTCGTAATGCGCGTCGAGGTATTGGTTGACTTTTTTCCAGTGCTGTCTCCACAGCACTCAGAATCGCCCTGCTCTTCCACCAGCTGCAAAGGGTTTGCTAATTTGTCTCTCTGGATGTGGCTCAAAGTCTCAAAATCCCGCATTCCCCCGCTGTGACCCAACATATGAGTTGAAAAGAGGCCATCGTACTGGACAAGTGTCAGTAGGGTACCACAATATACGCAGCGAGCACGGAAGGATGATTCCAGGGCAGCTCAACGATGAAAGAGCGATGCCACCGTCACGGCTCTATAAGCCACTGCCGCGAATACACTTCTCTTCTCCACACAGCCTTTCGCCCTTTGTCCGCGCTGCGCAGCTATCGCAACGCTCCTAGAACCTAGTATCTCTCGTTGAATCAGTATTATCTTTTCCGCAGCAAGCTTTGCCTCCAGCAAGTGTTTTGTGCATTACAGTTTCGTTACTGACGCGCCTTTCTGATGGGTTCGCCATTAGAGCACTGGCTCGTTGCTCACCGCCGCAAGGAAGCCACCAGGGCCAACTCGGGAACAAATGCAGACCCTCCCATAGCCAACAATCCCGTTCCAGGCCGAATATGGACGAAAGAATCCCTAGCAAAGATTTGGGGATACTCGTCGTTGAAGGATATGTGTGGCAGGGCGAACGAGACTCCCTGGTACAACGCCGAAACAGGAATGAATGAAGAGGTTGACGAATCGTCCGAGAGAACATTGACCAAACCAGAGGGATACAATCCATTTAAATTTCGTCTTGGCCCTTCATTGGTACCAGGCCTACCGCCAGGATGGTTTGCAGCTTACCGTGCAATCGAACAAGGACTAGGTCAAGGGAGCGACGAAGACGCAATAGCATTACTCGCATCACTACCACCTCGACCTCCGCCCCAGCCCTTGCCCCCGCTCCGGGTTCCGCGATCGTCACTTTACATCGAGAACCAGATCCTAATCTTGCATCAAGACCTCGATTCCCTGTTCGAACACTACTTGACCAAATATGTTTCTGCGTCTTGCGAGAATGAAGCATTTAAGTTGCTCCATGCCGAAATGGATGTGCTCATGGCTCACCACGAAGTCAATTTAGCTCACTCCGATAGCGACAGCACGCTCCTAGACCTCTACGCTGGTTTTTCTGAAAGGATTCAGCAGAGCATCATCTATTGCGCATACATTGCCTGGGACCAAGAGCAATTCCCAAGCCGACCGCGCGCCGGTAATCCCTGGGGCTACCTGCTCCCCAAGACATACATGGCAAAAGCCCTGAGTCGCCAGAGAATTTCTTCGGAGATGTTGGTGGTATTTCAGAATAAGCAGAGTTTGCTGAGAGAGCTGAGGACAGTGACTTGGGGTCGTAGGGCCTACTTGGACAGGTTGGAGCAACTCTCCGACGCTGACGCCAGGACACTGTGGATGCTCCATCCAACTTTCACTCACAGCAAGACCGTACCACTGCACGCCCTGGTAGGAAACCTTCAAAGGCTGTATTTGCAGATGGGCGATAGACGGCTTTTGAGGAGCTATTGGGCGAAATGAGGGCGAGTTTGCCGATATTGGCGCATCTTGTCTGTCTACCGACACGGCAGCATTGTTGAACGAGGTGTACTTTGGAAATTTTTTGCGTTACCTGTGCGTTACCTGTGCGTTACCTGTGCGTTACTTGCGCGTTATTGCTGATTGCGTTTGGGGATGTTCGTTTCGATGGAAATCGGAGATAATGATTGTTTAGGACGATTTGATTGTGCGCATGTTACCGACCCTCGACTATTCAGGTTAGCTTAAACAACTTTCCACCCACATCATCCCATTCGTCGTCCCATCTGTGCTCGCTTTCCTTGAGTGCGCCTGCTTTGAGCGTGTCTCTCAATCTGCCATCGCTGCCAAAGAAGGTAGCCAGGTGCAAAGCGAGCTCCTCTGCGCTTTGAAATCCGAGGCCGTTGACGCCTTGCTTGACCAGTTCCGGCCATGCCTCGAACTTGCCCCAACCCACGACAGGCAGCCCTGCGCCAAACATATCGACGACCTTCATGGGGAGGTCAACGCCAGAGGATGATGTATGCAGTGACACACCAAGATCGGCCGAGGCGAGAAGGAGAGCGTAGTCGGCATGGGTGAGCCAAGCCGTCTTGATGATGACGTTTGACAGCTTTTTCTGCTGATTCAATTCATTGATCTTGGAGAGATAGTATTCCTTTTGTGGGCCTTTGCCTGTGATGATGGCAATAATCTTGGGCAGGTGCGTCTGTGAAGTGCACTCGGCAGAATAGGTGACGAGGGCAGACAAGAGGAGCGAGAAGTCTTCGTCAGCTGTCCAAGAGGTGGCGCTTACGATGAGTCTCCAGGGCGTTGTCGAGTTGGGCGAGAGGTCCTCTGCAAATTCGGCCGTTTCCGGCAGTCTCCTGAGGAATCGCTCACGCTCCTCGGTCGCGATAGGCTGAAAGGCAGGGGCCGGGCGGTCATGCATTGCGTGTGCAATGACGCCGTAATCGGCTTTGAGAACACGGGCCATTGCGTCGGTTACAGTGATGTGGTGCGCAGCAGCTTTGGCGAAGAGCTTCTCATATCTCTCCGATATTCTGACGAGAGGATGCGAGTCTCCGAGCTTCATGGCTAGGATGGAGTAGCCAAAGTTGTGCCAATCAATGACGAGACTAGTGCGGCGCAAGAAGCATACCAGACTGGCAACGGCGAGTGTTGGTATTGACGGAGGATTCTGCACAAGCGTCCACGCCGTGGGCCTGGAGCGGTAGCCTAGTGCAGCGTACAAAGACCAAACCTGCCACAGGACTTTGAGCGGGGCCAGGATGGGGAAGAGAAGTTTGCTGCTTGAGCGCAGCACACTTGGTGCTGGCGAGAGGGGGATGATTTCAATCAAAGGGTTGGAGACAATGTCCGGATGTATTTCGGACTCTGGCACAGGTTACTATGTGAAGGGGGTGCATCGTGGACAGCATTTACCTTTGTAGCCGATGAGCACGACGCTGCCGCCGTGTTTGGCGATGCTCACGGCATGGTACTGCATACGGGGGGACCGTCCAATGTCTCCCAACACGACCACCTGCACCGACCGTCCCTGCTTCCACTGCAGCGGGCCCTTTCCGTCTCTTGTCCTTGTCTTGATGTCTTGTCCATTCTCGTCGACGGACCTTGGCGGCTTGTCTCTGGAGGCATCATAGCGGCCAGGCAGCGTGACGAGGAAAAGCGTGAACAGCGTAGACAGGGCGACAACGACGCTCAGCACGGCGGCGAAGATGCTGCCGTCCGTCTTGGAGTCGTCGAACATGGCAGCGTGGGGAGGTCGTGATGGTGTTGTCCAATTGCAAGGCGCGTGGTTGAAGACGGCGGCGCCAAGACGCGAGGGCGGGGCGAGATGCGGAGGCCAGGGGGGGAGGCACGCTTGGCCCAAAGGGGAAGGCGCGGGCTGGATAGCGCATATGTCCGGAGATAGAAGGGACCCCTGAAAAGAGGCGTCGACGCGCTGCCATTGTGGTGGTGATTGCCTCCTCGCTATCGCCGCGACACAGCACAGAGCCCTCCGCCCACGCCTCTTCACCGCCCGCCAGTTGCACCCCGCGCGCATTGCATTTTGCTTTGCTTTTGCCCCCCTCCCCTCCCCCTCCCCCATCCCCAAATCTCCATGCTCCAGCCACTCGCCGGGTGACGCAATTGAGCCCTGCCTTAGCTCCGACAGTGGCATCTACCCCCTCCACTTCACGGCCAGCATTGTTTCCCCTACCCAGGCGCATACTCGACGCCGCTGCCACCTGATGGCGTCGACATATGCCCTGCCCGTCACTCCGACTGCGCACAACCATGGCCGCTCAACATCGCAATATACGCCCGACCCGTCGCCTTATTCGACAAACTCCACAACTGGCGCTTCGCCTGCCAGATCACACAGCCACCGGTACACCCGGTCTGACATGGGCGCGGGCGGCCAATTGTACGGCGCGGCCCGCTCGCAGTACGCCGAGTACAACTCTCAGCTCCAGACGCAGCCCCAGGAGCACAAGCACGGCCACGAGCGCTCGACTTCAAGAGACTCGACATACACGCTGAAGCCCTTTTTGAATGGGAGCATGGGGAGGCCAAAAGGCCGGCCCAGAGGCGACTCAGACCTGGGCCGCGTCATCCCCAAAAAGACACCGGTAATCGACAGATATGGCTTCTCGCCAGTGTCGCCCATAGAAGAGACTGCCCATGCGCATTCACCTCTCCCGCCTGCGTAAGGATAGTTCGGACATGCTCTCGCAGGCCCCCACTAACAGACGGCGCAGACCATGGCTGCAGCTTCCCGAAGCCCTTACCGCCTTCCTCATCCCTCTCCCATACATCTTCGCCGCTCTGGCATATCCAAAGGGCATCCGCACGACAGCCAGGTTTCCGTCTACCCTCTCGGAAGCCGTAGCAGCAATCTCGCCTCCGACCGAGCCTACACATCCGTCGATTAGCGCACCATTGTTGCACGCCCTCGCGCTTTCGTCTGCGACACTGCTATTAGTGGGCGCAACTGCGAAAGTCAACTCGACTTTACAACCACTGGATAGACGGAAAGAAGACAAAGCCGCTTTGAATAACGGCAGTGTGCCCAGGCGCATTGCAAGCAATGCTCTTAGCGTATTGCTGCCTTTCTATGCGTCGTTGCAGCTGGGCGGCGCAAAGACAGCGCTCGTCTTGCTGATTGCAGTAGCAGCGGGCATCGGAGCTCTGGACCAGAAGCCAGGCAACCACACTCCGTGGGACGATGCTCGACGGACGCTGAGAACACGCAAAGCCACGTGTGGTACGCTTTCTCTTGCTATGATTGCAGACATCGTGGCCTCTGGAAACACAAACACCTTGATTGGCTATGCAGCCCTTTTGCTCTCCATGTTTCTGGTTCCTCCGCCTCTACCCACCGCTGGCTGGTCTCTCATGACCGGCACACAAAGCCAGGGCTCATACATGAGCCAAAAGCCTCTCCGCGCCTCGTTGCCGAAACCTTCATCTCCGCTAGTAAGCAAACCCGAGAACCAGCTCCTCACACTTGCCGCGGGTTTGCTTCTTCTCGTCACGACTGTTTTGTACTCTTTTGTTTCTTCTACATATCTATCTCTGTCCCAACATACAGTTGGATTTTCGGCCCTGTCGATTGCATCAGCGACAGCGCTTGTCTACTTTTCTCTTCCAGCATCATTGCGGAGTCAGAAACAGGTAGGGCTCAGGCTGAGCGGTATCCTCATCTTCGCTTTTAGTTTTTTGGAGTCTGGAGGCCATCTCAACAGCGCATTTCCCTGTGTTTGTGCAGTCCTCATGGCAGCCGTCTCGTTTGACACTCGCTCCCCAGTACCACGCGCTCACGATCACGCCCATGCGCATACCAACCACAGTCACGCACACGGCCATGACCATGACCATAAGCATGATCATCATCTCCACGGGAACCATTCCAGAATATCTGCCTTCTTGATTGCGCGCTCAACCCCAGGTTCGATTGTGCATAGTGTGTTGATTGAAAGGGACTCGCGGCGCATCGCATACTTTGGCATGTACGTCTTACCATTCAGCTGAGAACTCAGAGACTAGTAGCGAAACTCTAACAACATTTAGACTCAACTTGACATTCATGATGGTTCAATTCTTCTATGGTTTTGTCAGCGGCTCGCTGGGATTGCTCACAGACAGTATCCATATGCTTTTTGACTGTGCGGGTCTGGCGGTAGGTCTTGCGGCTGCAGTCATGAGCAAGTGGCCTCCAAACACTCATTTTCCGTACGGCTATGGAAAAATCGATACGCTGTCTGGGTTTGCCAACGGTGTATTTCTCTTGTAAGCCATTCGTATTTCTATACAACTCATGCTAATCCTGTACAGGCTTGTCAGTGTCGAAATCATATTCGATGCTTTTGAGCGCCTTTGGGAGGGTCGCGAACTTCATCGTCTCAATGAACTGCTGATTGTCAGTATACTGGGATTTTTGGTCAACATTGTCGGTCTCACTGCCTTTGGACATGCTCACCATGGCCATGGGCACGATCATGGCCATGACCACGGACATGACCACGGACACGGACACTCACACGACAACGAAAACATGCAGGGTATCTTCCTTCATATTCTTGCCGATGCGCTTGGCTCTGTAGCAGTCATCATCTCTACTCTTCTGACCAAGTACTACGGCTGGTCCGGATGGGACCCTATTGCGTCCTGCATCATTGCTATTCTGATCTTCCTCTCGGCGATCCCCCTTGTCAAGTCCAGCGGAGCGAGACTTATGCTTAGCTTGCCTAGCGATGTCGAGTATGGCATCAGGAATGCGTTGGGAGAGTTGGGTACACTGAGAGGCGTGGTAGGTTACACGGTTCCTAAGTTTTGGCTTGAAGACGAAGGAGCTGCGCATGCGGAAGCCCATGCCAAGGAGCATGACGATTGCGACGGACACAAGCACGACGACCATTCTCATGATCACGACCACGACCACGATCATCCACATTCGCACGACCATGACCATTCGCATGATCATGACCATTCACATTCACATTCACATTCGCATTCGCACGACCACAGCCACGACCATTCCCATTCGCACTCGCACTCTCACGATCACAACCACGACCACGACCACGACCATGATCATGTGCATAAACCACGGCGCATCCTTGGCGTAATCCATATCATTGCATCGCGGGTTGCAGACGTAGAAGACGTCCGCGAGCGCTCCTACCAGTTTCTCAAAGACCGCGGTATGGACGTCGTCATCCACGTCGAAAGAGAAGGCGAAGGCCGGTGTTGGTGTGGCGGTGGCGGCGATTACAAGACAAACTAGTGTACAACAGGTGTATATAGATGTCAATGGAAGAGGAAGTTTGCACTTTTTTTTTGTAATATGCACATGTATGGAATATTCACATGACATCTTGGATTTTGACATTATTCCTTTTTTTTCTCGCTTCGATTAGGTGAAGTGGCTTGTAACGCATGTTGGTTTTTTCTTTGTTTATTTTATCTATAGCTGATATCTACCGCTACCGCGTGACTTGCGCATATCATATCATACTCTACGTACATACCGCAATCATCCTAAAGACCTGAGAAACATGACATAAGCTCCGTACTTGAAACCCCCTCCCTCCCGCCCGTGGAAGCATAGTAAGAAAGGAAATGGGAAGCCTCATTACAAGTTTAATGGTATCCTTTAGATAACAGATAACAGAAAGGAAAATTGATCCCACCCCCCCCCCAAGACAAAGGCTTAACCCTCCGACCGTAGAACCCCAGCCAAAGTCCTAACATCAAATTCAACCCACCTGGCTCGGCCCTCCCTGCGGCCGCGCCCACCACTCTCATCAATAGCCCCCGGATTCATGACTGTACAGCCGAAATACTTGACGACGAAGGGCGGAGCCTCTGAATCCGCCAGCACGACGCTGGTAGGCAGCGGATACAAATTCAGGGTGTGTGCAAAGTCCCAGTGCAGCGGGCGCGCGGCAAGCGGGTAGGGACTGAGATGGGATTGAGAGAGAATGGTGCGGGTAAGTGTGCGGGCGGTTTGCGTGTCGAAATCGACGTCTGGTTGTTGTTGTTGGTGTTGTTTTTGTTTTTGCTTTCGAGCTGGGGGTTGGTTGAGATCGAGATCCATGGCATCCTGAGCCTGCAAGTCGCGCGCATGCTGGCTGTGTGAAAACGGCAGTTCCTCGTCGTCGTCACCATCGGCGTCAGCGGGCGGCTTGTTGAATCGAATCGAGTTTCTCTGCAGACGGCCCAGCACGTCGTCGCGCAGGATGGCCATTTCACCTTTTACGCCGAACCAGGTGAGGCGAGTGGGATTCGAAGTCCAGAGGACGTCGCCTTCGGTGCCTTTTGCTCTTCCCGGGCCCCAGATCTCGCGGTTCGCTTCGGCGACGACTTTGCGGATGCGGCTGGTGAACATGGGGGGCACGGGTTTGCGCGGTAAGGGAGTGGCGGCGCCGGCGGAGAAGGCGCTGGGCCAGGCGTCGTTGTCGCCGGGGACGAGGACGAGAGTTGTGTGTGCGATGAGGGGCTGGAAGTCGGCGAGGACGGAGGCTAGCGCGTCGAAATGCTCCTTGTATTCTATGCTTCCTGTACCTGGGACCCCCGCGAGACTGGCTTTCGAGCTGAAGTTCCCCATCAGGATGATGGCGAGCGGGTACACGGGGTGAGCGTCTGTCGGGTCAGGTGTGTATGTGCGTAGAAGAGTGCGGAGGGCAGACAGCGTTGAGGGGACGTCCAGATGGAGATCTGATGCTATGACGATGTTGTGTGGTCGGTCTGGATCGAGGAGTTTTGACGCAATCTTGTTCATGCGAGCACCGGTTCCACGCTGTGAGCCGACGCCCAGGAAATCTGTCCAGCCGAATGCCGGGCCAGCCAGACTGTTCTTGTCGATTTCTTCGGCGCCGCCTAGTGTCGCTGTTCGCCGTTCACAAGGCGGGTGGCCGACTGAGAAACCAAGGAACTTTCCGCCAATCGTGCCGCCAATACCACCACTGCCTCCTAGAGAAGAGCTCACTCCAGAATCTTCTTCGTAGCTGCCTTCGACTAGTACAATCATGCCTGGTGCAAAGTACGCGCCCTTTTCAGGGATCGGTCGCGCGTGCTCAATGTCAAGCGCAATTGTTCCGGTTAGGTCGGAGAGTGAGAGCGCACCGGTCGCCGAGACGGTGAGCATGCCGAGTAACAGGTGGGTGCTTCCGCTCCGGCCAAGCAGATTGGCAATGGGTGTAATCGTGTTCATTTGCGACGTTGCAATCGACCCTGTCCGACTCAGAGTAGCTGATCTAGTTGTGCTGAAAGAAGGTGCTTGGAACGTCTCATTTCGGAGTATGCGCTGATGGACAATGTGGTAGCGCTGGCGGAAGACCTCGGTCTTGTGTGAGGGATCTGGGAATAGCGATGGTTTTGTGGCAGACCTAGTGTTGTTAGCAGAGGCTCAATACAGACCCAGAATGTACCGACTTTTCAAAGTGCTTTTGGTTGACATTGTATATTAGCTTTGGCTGCTCAAAAGCGCCAATGACTTTGATCCATTCTCGGGGGTCTTTCAGCATATCCTCTTCATCATCCTTGTCTTCCACCTCTAGACTTGACATGCCAAAACTCGACGTCGTGTCTATAGACGGACGTGACTGGCCGGCTGCCTCTGGGCCAAAGTTGAAACTGCTCTGTCGTCCTAGCGACGAGCCTTGGACTATTCTCCCGCCGCTCATGCACCCTTCGAATGTCTTGAGAATGCTCTTGAGCGTCTCATTATCGCCGTCCACAATGACCTGGCCGCCGCATTTCTTCCAGCTCTTGGCCACTTCCTCTAGGACTTTCTCCGCTAGGCCTTCCTCTCGCCATCCCGAACCGCAGTGCTTTCCAATGAATGTCGCTAGGGCCTGGAGGGCAGACGATGTGAGTGTGAGATTGTGTTTTTTGGTGAACGTCCTGAAGGCAAGCGGCCGTAGTGTCGCCGGAGGGAGTAATATCGGAAGAACAGTCGACTTTGCGACGGGTTTGAGCAAGGGCGGGGCGCGTATTGGGGCTGTTCTGCGGGGGTTGATGGGATGTACCGGAGTTCCAAATGCCGGTGAAGAGGATGGAATGGGGTCTGCCGGTACCGCCGAGGGCTTTTCTGGCCGTCTTGAAGTTGCCATGTCTGTTGTCGTGGTCGTCAAGCCAAGGCGTGCTGTATGCACTTGAGTAGTCGGTCTGGAATTCCACTTTACGCGCGACGCGGTCGCGCTTTCGCGCTAAGATCAGCCCGCTTTTCCTAGCAACGCCAATAGTCCCCACCTAAACACAACACTCACCTCCCTCGCGCCGAGCAGATCCTAACTGCGCATTAACAATCTTGCAGTCGCATAATACTAGTCATATCACGGACACAACCCGATCTGCGCAAAATGGCCGACCCCGCGACTGAACCGCTTGCGACCGTCACCGAAACCGAAGAGCTGCCTAGAACCAAGGAAAAGCTGTCCGAACTGTCGCAGGCTGCCTCTATCCACTACTCGACCAAGAACTTCCCTGCTGCCGCCGAGAACTATGCCAACGCTGTCGAGATCCAAGCCGAACTCAATGGCGAAATGGCGCCTGAGAATGCCGAACTGCTCTTCTACTACGGGCGCGCGCTATACAAGGTCGCGGTTGCTAAGAGCGACGTGCTAGGCAACAAGGTTGCGCAAGAGGAAAAGAAGAACAAGCAGCCCAAGTCGAAAAAGGCAGCAAAGACAGAGACAGGTGAAGGCTCAAGTACAGCGGCAGCCAAGGCCGAGCCAAAGACAGAATCGGTCCAGAACAAGCCATATTTCCAGCTTACAGGCGATGAAAACTGGACTGATTCGGAGGATGAAGAAGACGATGACGAGGGCGAGCAGGAAGAGGACGACGACGACTTTGGCAACGCATACGAGATCTTCGAGTTGGCTCGCGTCCTCTACGAAAAGCAGCTGAATGCACTCGCAGAGAGCGACTCTGCAGACAAGGGCAAGGGCAAAGCTGAGCTGAGCCCAGCCGAGCGCGTTATCAAGGAGCGCATTGCCGACTGTCACGGTTTCCTTGTGGAGATCTCACTCGAAAACGAGCGCTTCCACGATGCCGTAGCCGACGCCCGCAAGTCGCTTGCCCTGCAGGAGGAACTGTACCCATTTGAGCACGAAAACGTCACCGAGGCACATTACTCACTTTCTCTAGCCCTTGAGTTTGCATCTGTATCCAAGGTGCGCGAGGACCAGACGGGCCAATCCACAGGTGCGCCCGACACGGAGCCCGGAAAAGAAGACGAGGACGGCGTCAACTGGGAGCTGCGAAAAGAAGCCGCCGACCAAACCGACCTCGCGATCAAGAGCCTTGAAGCGCGGTTAAAGAAAGAGGAGGATGCTCTCGACTCCGACGCGCTCAAGCCAGACCAGAAGGAGAAGCAAGCCATCATCGCCGACAAGAAGAGTATGCTGGAGGATCTCAAAACCCGTCTTGTCGACCTCAAGTCGGATCCCACAAAGCAGCAGTTCGATACCATCGACTCGTCTGTCTTCCAGGGCTTGCTGGGTGGCATGCTGGGTGCCGACCCAGCCACGCAAAAGGCTAAGCTGGCTGAAGTCGCCAAGACGGCAAACGATGTTTCAGGTATGGTCAAGAAGAAGGCAAAGGCACCGGTGGCAGCAGCATCGTCGGCATCGTCGGCATCGGCGTCAAAAGACAGTGGCAGCAGCAAGAGGAAACTAGAAGTTGAAGACAGTGGCGCAGATGAAAAGAGAGCGAAGACAGAGGAGCCAGCGTAAATGCCCATTTTGTCAGTTTCCAATTGAGGCGTTTTTGGATGACACGGTTATATTTAGCGTCATGGAAGAATATGCATGCCCTTTTTTTTTGTTCTTAAATTTCACTGTTCACGAGCTAGGATAGCGCTGCAGTCTGCTACATAGGATAAGAATCAAATGCACAAACAATTACAAAAGTCCAATTTGCAAACATTGCAGTACTGTATTTTCCATGATAAGCTCATTTGATTTACACCGATTACTCTTCTAAGAAACTCGCAAAATATATATATTCTATATGCATACCCAGCTCATTCCCATCTACAGCTTACTTTCTCCCTCACTACCTTTGCCTTTCCAGCCCGACACCGTGGCGCCGCCGTCCAGCGTAATCGCGTTTCCAGTCATGTGTGCGCTGGCGGTACTGCTGAGGAACAAGACGAGGCCGCCGAAATCACTGGGCTTGCCAATTCTACCTGTAGGCTGTCCGGCCTTGAGCGGATCGGCGTACTTTTTCAACCCGAAATTTGTCATGCGTGAGGGGAAGACGCCCGGGCAGATGGCGTTGCACATGATGTGCTTGGGAGCGAGCTTGGAGGCTTGCATCTTGGTGAGGTGGATGCAGGCGGCTTTTGAGGGGCCATCTGTAGGGAATATTTGTTAGTCTGGATGCTCTGTATACAAACTCTTGCACTCTCTCTCTCTGTGTGTGTGTATCTTGCCAAGAGGAATGAGGTTAAAAAAAGAGACTTACAAGAAAAAGTCCCGGTGCCTGGTGGACTCAGCCCGCCAGTCTCTCCTGTCGTGACATCCACCGTCGTGATACCCGCCACACTAGCAATATTAATCACCCTGCTCGGTGCCTCCGCCGTCGCGCCTTTCAGCAGCAGCGGCTCCAGTCCGACCGTCATGTAGAAAATGCTCTTGACATTGAGCGCATAGAGCTTATCCCACGCATGCTCAGGATAGTTGTAGTAATCGTCGCCCCAGCTGGCACCCGAGTTGTTGATGAGCACCGTCAGGCGATCGGTTCGCTTTTTCACCTCGTCGCAGAGAGCAAGACAGCCGGCCTTGTCTTTGAGGTCCGCGACAATGTAGTCGCATTTGCCGGGGCCGAGGGCGTTGAGCCGTGCGCTCGTGGCGGAGAGCTCGCTTTCTTTGCGCGACGCGATGAAGACGTGCGCGCCGTTTTGCACAAAGGCTTGCGCGGCCATTTCGCCTAGCCCCGTGGCTCCGCCTGTGACGAGCACGACGTGCCAGGTGAAGTCGAAGAGGGCGCTGATGCGGAGGTCATCTTGGGATGCGGCGTGCGTCATTGTCGGGAAATTGGGTGGTAGACTGGGAATTGAGGAGTGGAATGTGAGATTTCCAGATTCAGGGTAGATTTAAGGAGGATAGTCAGGGTAGGGGCGGGAATGCGCAACAAGTAATTTTGCCATTGCTCTTGTTGTCGCTATATCCGTTGCAGAGATGGGGGGAACCTCGGCATCTTTTGACGCTGGGTACGTATGTGGGGTGTTAGCGCTGAATCGGTACGAATTACGTCTTCTTCTAGGCCTACTTTGGTGCATCCACCGTAAGACGGTGAACAATGCAATCAAGCATGCTAACGTGTCCTAGGAATTGTACAACTCTAGTGGACCATAATCCCCAGTGGCGTGAACTCTCCCCTTACGAAGAATGGTAAACTCGACACGAGTACTGTCTGACTGGTTCACGGTTACGTCGAAGACGGCGGGGACGACCATTGGTTTCTTAAACTCTACTCGCATCCGTAAGGGTCCATGCTCTGGTGAAATAGTATTTCCGGCGCTATACGAGCTCCATAATGCTTTTGCAGCTGCATGGTTTCCATGGGCAAGCTTGCCAGGTAAGCCAAAGAGCTTTGCAGCGAGCCCGGACAGGTGTATAAAGTTGTAGTCCTTGCAGAGCGCCGCCCATTTCAGCGGGTCGTCTCCAGATAGCGATATCTGTGTACTAGCATCCATGGGGATTGATGTCGACACGTTGGATTGACTGTTGTCCAAGCCTTTAGACTTGACATGGCCCGGCATCTTCCTGAATTCCAGCATGGTAAAGACTTGGCGGAAAATGGTACGAACGGCGCCATCGTTCTTTTCGATAGGCACATTGACATTTACTTCTAGTTCCCACTCAATGCCGCGTTTTACTGGCGTTGGGTTGGGGCGTACAACTGCTTCCAAGTGTGCAGAGTCGGTATCCATAAGGTTTTCTAGGTCGCACAGTTCTGGACGGATCAGCTCGAATGTGTTGCGAACATTGACGGCGCCTAATGGGTTTATCGGACACCGGGGGCTAGAGATAAGTAGCAGCATTGCTGGCTCAGTCATGACCGACAGAAACAGCATGAGCTGTGCATGTCCCAGAGATGGCGCTTTGCTACCTTGGTGTCCAACAGCCGAGAGAAAACGAGTGACATCTTCAGGACTTATGACAAGAGGTGAACAGAGCTGCAGTCCGGTGGGATCCGGGCGCGAGGTTTTGGTGGTTGCATAAAATAAAGATTTGATCATCATTGCGATGATTGCTATCACCACCTCTTCCATCCGGAGCGTGTTTGGAGAAAATGTCAAAGTCGCTCGTTTGGATAGCAAAGGCACCAGCCGGTATCCGAGAGAAACGAGTATGCCAAGTGCCATACCGAAAAGAAGAAACAGCGGCATCATGGCCAGGACTTGAGATGAGGGCGAATCATGTATCGGTGATGGTGTATGTTTGGAAAGAGAACTCGGCGAAGCGAGCGAAACACGTGACGTCATGGCGAATCTAGTAGTGTGGGTGGTCAATGCGTGCAACGGGTCAGACAATGCAACACCACCACTAAAATGTCCGCCTATCAAAAATGAGGCTGTAGAGCACCATACAAAAGCTATTATCACGAGATTTTTTGGTGGAGTAGTCTAAATAGTTCAAAAAACAATCCTATCTACTCAAATTTCTTTGGCAGTTTGATGTTGCGGCCGCGCATCGTTGTTTTGGTGGTGGGCTGCGCAGCCGACGATGCAGACGCACCACCACTTTGGCTGCCTGCATCACCACCACCCTTTGACTTTTTTTGACTTTTGAGACGATGAAGCTTTTCGTTTAGGTATATTTTGCTTATCGCGAGCTTTTTTTGAAGTTGCGACTGCGCGATCGCGAGCTTTTTTGGGCGCGTCTTAACTGGAGTTCTTTGGCCCTCACTTCTCTCTCTTTATCCCTCGCTATTTTCTTCAACTCCCGCGCAGTCCTTGCCTCGTCTATTAATTTTTTTCGTAGAGCTATACTAGCA